ATTTAGAAGAGTTTAAAGGCACTCGAAAAATCAGCCCTTTAAAAGTAATTCATAAATATTTTGAATACTGGTTATTTAATTTATAAATATACGTGACCTGGTCTACGGAAAGGGGGCATAGGTGTCAAAGAATCTTAGTTGATTCGGATAGATCACGTGATAGAATCAAAAAAGTCATAAACTAGTTTTCGCACGTTAGCTCCCTTTTCGTAGACCAGGTCACATATATAGTACTGAAGAACCATATTGCCACTAATATTTGAACCTCACAGCCCAGACGGACAATGCCTGAATCGACTCAATCTTTAGTTGTAAAATATTGTTTCAAATTAGGAACTAAAAAATTGTAAATTTCGATAATTTCATTAATCAGGATGAGGATTTATGAGTCTTTCTTAACAAAGCACGCATTTTTCCCGAGTTCAAATACCTCTCTTTCATTTGTGCAGCTTAAAGATCGCATGTACTTCGAAAGCCCTTTATAGATATGCAATCAAACTATAAATTCACGCTAAGCCTGTGAAAGCGCGCTAAGCTACGTGATGTTTAATGCAATTTTGCTAAACCTGGCGCGATTTAAAGTGCAACGGTGTCTATTTGCATAAATAAAATACATACATATATATATAAGTATATGGCTAAATACGCATTTGTGACGCTGTCATAAGCTTTAAAGGCCATCGCGCTTTCGTATTTTCCCGGTGTCTGGAGCACGAAATCGCAATAATATTGACTATCATCGACTATTTAACTGTCAATCGCTGTTGCAGACATGTCGAAACTACAAGCCGGATATTGCATGCATTTTCCTAACTATTTTATTTGCCGTTATTATTATTTTTTATTCATACTAAACTTCAGCGCTGATCACATAGCATTCGCAGCAAATATGTCCAGACAAACGCACGAGCATTTGCATGCAGAGCCCGACATGCCGAGGTGCTGTTGGTTGCTAGCTGCTGGTTACGTGCCGACAACAAGGAATAGAAAATATTTTGAATAGTTTGGTGCATTTCATGGCAGCTATGTGCCCGATAACGGTATGCCTGCAATATAGTAGCGCCATCGAGCGATAAGTGCACCACTCGGCCTGGAAGTGATGCTGGAGCTGGAGCCGGGTTCGCAAGAATGCGCTCAAATTCAGCAGAAATGGCATGAGCACACACGTTTACACACACATATGTGCACACATGATTATCCGCCCGCGTATTAGTTTACAAATTGGCAGATTGCGCACCATTGACAGTCGGACGCTTATTTAGGGGTAAACAACCGACAAGCCGGCAATATGTGGATGCCATACAACTCGCACAAACAAGAAACAAAAATAACTACCACACTGTGGCACATACTCGTACATGAGTGCTCGTCAGCTATGGGTATCTGGGTAATGGCGGCAGTCGGATAGACAGCGAGTCAGCCACACACAAGCAGCCGCGAGTTATTCGCCGAGTTGTAAGCTTTCGAAAAATTTTGTATTGAACTATGTTTTGAAATTCAGTTGTTGTTATTGCTATGGATTACATGTCTCATTGCTCACTGGTTGTATGCATCACGTTGCAGCATCACGTGCGTAGTAAAAAAAACTTGCAAAAGTATACTCGTTTTCACTCACGAAAAAAAATCCGGCCTTCATGCAATTTGTTTGGCGCGTTTGAGTAGACTTTAAGTATAGACGCAACACAAAAAAAAAATGCACTGATTGAATTCCCTGGAGAAGAAGTGAGCAGTTTACCGATTACTGAACGTGAAAACCTAGCCTGGTTTGACAGTGATCAACCGCTGCGCCTTTAAGAGATATTAAAGGATATAAAAGTTTAAGAGAAAAAAAAATTTTTTTTTTTTATAAAAGATCTAAGAACCCAAAGTAATACGAATGTGTCTTAAATTTTGTAATTTATTTTTATGGAAACTCTTAGAAAACTTACAGATTAAAATTCTTAAAAACTACAATGGATCTCGTCTACAATATAAACCTCATTTTTCTACTGACATCGTAAATAATATTTGCTGATGGTAGAACGTTATCTATCATCTAAAAAATTGGGAGTGGGTTAAAATTTCCATTACAAACTTTAGGAGCATATTTATATTTTGAAAGAGCCATATTATTTTTTGCCACAAAGTTTCTAACATTCAAAGGAAATGTCGAAATCTCGTATGAGTTGATATACAAATGATCATCATGATGATCTGAGTCGATTTAACTATATTGATCTGTCTGTGCTTCAATATTTACACGAGCTAGCTCTTCAGTTTTTCAGATAACGTTCTCAAATTATGCAAACGAGCTTCTGTCTTTAGAAGCTGCTCATTATTAGAATCGCCGTAATCTAACTACTATAAAAAATAGCGAACTGATCAAGTCCAAAAAAAAAAATCTCCAAATCCTTCGACGCGCGCAGTTTAAATTCAAATATCAACTTATTTTTTGGACACAGATACATATGTTCGTATTTCGTGTTTCCAAAATGGACTGATAGATAGAAAACATTTCCGATCTCTGGCATAAATACATTCGGCTGAGGTGAGTTTACACCAGATCAAGGCGCCGTGGAAACATTACCAGGGAGTTGACCTATACAAATCGCCAAAGCGAGAACCAAAACCGATTATCGATGATAGCAACCACAATAAGCATGAGCTGAACTCTCTGCGGATATAATCAGCCGACTTTATTCAACGACCAACACGCTATTATTAAAGGATATGAGTACCTATACATCTACTTCTTTAGATATAGACCAAATTCCACAATAGAAGAACAGCGGTAAGTCGCGCACAAGCTACAAACGCTAACATTTAAAAAAAAAATTACAAAAAATTGTCCAAAGGTATACACAGTGGGCCTTCGCTGAAGTAAATTACAATTCAAACGCGTGGGTTTTATGTTTATAGAAGCTCTAACAATATGCCCAAATAGGTGGAAAAATTAGTCTGGAGGAAGATAAACGCAGAGGTTAATACAAATTGGTTTCCAGCTTGTTATTTGAACTTTTTAAGGAAGCAGGTTTAAGTCATCATGAATGTAATGACCGTCTACTAACTTCAAATTGCGCCGATAAGTTACGAGTCGAAAGCTTACCCGAGTTCACGATACGATACTACGGCCTTTTTGTGAAACTTCCAGATTCAACAAGCATGTTTACCAACCTCATTATGGTCCATCTGCTCTGGAAAGTGTCGCAAAATTCCATCTGTATTCCCTTTGAACGAAAATGACGGACTGCGAAATGGTATGATGATGGTAACATTGCACTATCCAAAATTATGGATGTACACCTTAGCAAAAAGCAGGATATGGGGAATATGGAATGCAAACCTGCAATAAGCGAAATTGTTCCCAGGTTAGGCGACGGTTTGTTAGAGGAAAATTTCTTTTAGTGACCCGCAAGTGGTGCAAACTAATGCTGTGGGCACACCATTTAGGTACATCAAGAGATCATTCCTCGATTGCGTCGACAAAATAGAAGAGTGCGCCGATCAGACTTCTGACATGACAAACTCTATAAACGCGCTAACCGCCACTCACTGTGGGGCCGTGAACAGATTCACAGAGAATGGAAGGTCAAACGCGCAACCATTGCAGAGGAAGACCTCGAATTTACTCGAGAATCTAGGATGCCTCTTATTTAACTTTCTTCTGAATACTAAAGCAGAATAAACTCTTACTTATCCAAAATCGATGCCGAAATACCAAAAAGTTATCCAGCACGCTATTAGTCCCGGCATAACTCTAACCATCTCTCTGCATACCAGCGAATGCCACTCATCTAACACCGCTTTTCCTATGGTCCGACCCCTTTCGGAATCTTATAAGATCGCTTTTTCTAGAAAAGAAGTAGATAAATTAAAATTAAAGCAATATTTAGGCGTTTCGACGACAGTCGGGTCTAATTGAGCTTAAGGAACCTAGATTTTTATCTGGGCAAGAGCTGTCAACTTGGCTTTATTTCTCGATATTACTTCAGGAATGTTTTTTACCGCTACAACAACAAATAAATACTTGGCTAAACTTATTTTTTCTTATTCTTCTTATTCGGAGTAAGTTAAACTTCAGCTAATCTCATACAAAAAAAATCATTTGCCAGTTTTCACCCTCTCGAACTACATTAACCTCGGTTTCATTGCCTCTCGACGCTGTAATTAGTTACTTACCTACTTAGAAACTAGTAAAACTTTGCTGAAATAAAATTTCGAAAAGTCCATCCGCTTGTACAAGAAGTTTGAGCCTTTCTCCTGTCACCAGTGCACAAGGCTGGCTGCTAAGCGGAAGATACGCAAAGTTAACTGTGCAAAGCAAGAAAGGCAATTTGCCAAACACAGTCGTATTAGCCGAGCGAAAAGTAGTTAGAAAGACGAAAAAATTACGCTTAACACCGTTTTTGGAAAACTTTCGACTGTAACGCAAGCTAACCACCAGAACTACATGCTTGACTTGAAACGTAACCGGCGCACGCACGCGCTCAGACAAGTGTCGTTTTAGCCGAGACTGACTAATGACAGTCAAAGCGATTGCAGCGCAGCAACTCCACTTGCCCCGAAACCCCGAGCCCGCCGGCTGCGCATTTACGCAAATTGCGTTAAATTTATAGGCAAAACTTTCTGAAGTCAAAACAAAATCCGAAAACTAACTTCGAGAATTTCGACGTAGAGAGATTGTTAAATTGCTAAACTGACTAAAAATGCGCCCTGCGAAAACGGTCAAATCACGGCTGAGTAGCGCAGTGACCGCGTTTACTGCCGCTCGCTCCTCCTCCTCTCCTCCCACACTGCTCCTAATCACTCCTCCGCTCGATGCGCTAACGTCTGGCATATTGTGCGGCAAATTGGCCGCTTCGACTCGAAACTTTGCCCATCCGAAAAAGCAGATAATCTCAATGGCAGCAAAGACGCCACTTCCCTACGCGTCAAATATTGCGTTTCAATTGCTCTCGAGCGCGGCTGAAATAGGCGCGCAGCCGAAATTCAAATAAACGAGGCATCAAATTAAAACTTACCCGTGTAAAAGACACCTGAAGTTGGTTGAGACGCGAAGTTGACCTTTTCACCTGCAAGTAATTGGAGAGCAGTGAGAAAAGGTTTATACATAAGTAATTAAAATTTCAATTCTCTTTTCTTTTATACCGTTATCTAAGCGGTAAAATACCCTAGCAATTTATGATAGAATAAAATTAAAATAAAGCAAAACATTTATTGCTAACATTGTAAACAGTTAATATTTGGGTTCAAGCGTGTGCGGCGGCTAACACAAGAGAGAGTTAACTGTGATTCATCGAAAAATAAAAAAATAAAGCCTTGTATTTGGCTTTGTTCACCTCGGCTGGCCTTCAAAGGCAACGCATCAAAGCATTGTAATGTGAGGCCGTCTAAAGATTTTTTTGTAGTATTTTTATTATATGCTACATATTAAAATATTATTTTTAGGGTTAAAGCAAGTTATTTTCGCTCAGCTCAATTATCGAGCATAAGCAAATAAAATTACACATTTTGACCCTTTTTGTTGTCGTTTAAAATGCAGGCAAATGGCCGACGTCTGGCGTTCCCATGGCATATTGACCGCCAACCGTTGCCTGAAGAGTGTCTGTTCGATTGTGCGTTCAGTCTAATAGGTATAGATGTAAAATAAATTTCGGATATTCATTTGCAATTTAATAGTTTAGAATTTTTGTGAGCAAGAGTTAGGTTCAGTCAGATAAAAGTACAAATATATTTTTGACACAAATAAGAGTGAAGCAAATATACAAAAAACTTAACTGTTAAAGAAACAATGTAAACATTAATTTTGGAAGCTTTAATAGCCTTCATAGGGGTATTTCTTATATGAAGACATGATTGAGCTCACACCACTTCACCTAATAATCGGTTAGGTAGCCAATCACAGACTGCTTCAAATGACTGCAGAAGGGTTTGGCAGAGGTAAGGTAATATCTTCCTAGCCGCTGAAGGACTTAGTTGGTGTAATACCAAAGACTATTCTAACAAGGGACAAATTACCAAGAGGATAAACTTCGCCAACTTCAAGGTAGCTCTTAACAGTGACGAATGATTCCACTCTTGAGCTATTGGTTAGGGGTAGTGCAATAAAGTACCACAGCTTCGAAATTTTGTTTTAAAATTTGTAAAAATTTTACCGAAACTTTTCAATTGATGAAACAAGTTTATGACGATGAACGCCTATCCCATAGCAGAGTGCACGAGTGGTTTCAAAGTTTTCAAAGTGATCGTGAGGACATACATGACGATCAACATGTGGGCCAATCAAAATCCGTGATCACCGGAAATTCCATCGAAAATGTGCGTGAATTCATCACAAATCAGCCAAAATTATCACTGAAATTCATGGAAATGGAATTGAACATCTCTAAAACATCGATTTATCGCATTTTGACCGAACATTTGGACTTACGAAAGGTGTGTGCACGGTTCGTTCAGCACAAATTGACTGACGACCAAAAATTGCTCAGAATCCAACATGCGAAGCACATCATTTAAAAGGTCAAAATGGACAAAAACTTCCTTTACAATATTGTGACTGTTGCTGAAACGTGCTGTTTCCAATATGATCCCGAAACGAAATGCCATATTGCTGAATGGAAGGCAGCGGACGAGCCGAAACCCAAAAAATCGTGCATGGAGAAGTCAAAAGTGAAGATAAGACAATGCTGATTCGTTTTTATGATTCCGACAGTATTGTCCACTGCATTTGCCCATAAAAGGGAAGCTTTATGCGGATATAGAGGCCATTAAAAAGGCTTGCACCGGCATATTGGCGGCCATACCAGCCAACGAGCTAAAACACTCCTTCGACATTGGACCATTTGGACCATGCAAAAAGCTGTATTGAAGCAGAAGTAGACTATTTTGTATAAAATAAATTGATTTTGTCGAAAAAATCATTTGTTATGTTTTTTATTTTTTAAAGTCCTGTTTACTTTGAAACGCACAGTTTAGACGTAAGGCTGAACTTTTGAAGAGCACCTTAGGAACTGCCTTATATCAAGGAGCTGCACGGTATAAGGGAATACCGAGACTATTTTCCACTTTCTCTGTCAATGTCCTGGTCTATCACAAATCCGACACTAGATACTTAGAACCCATCAGACAACAAACCTTGAATGGATGTCCATAAAAAGCAAGACATAAATTTAGTTTCATTGCAATGATTTGAGCGCAATGATCAAACTAGTTAGCAAGATTATAAAATCCGACGATAATGCACCGAAATACCGAATTGTTGGGCTCAGAATTGCAGAATTCCTACCTGTGTGTATGGTCGTCTGTACAGAGTGTAGGTCTTATTTTCCACACTCCTTATGACCCAGGCCATCATCACCATGGATAATGCAAAAATACTAAAATCTATCGGTTTTATTTTAAAGTGGAAAATTTTCGAAGGCGGAGAAAAATTTTCAAAAGCACTTATAATCATTTATATATTTCATTCCATTTCAAGTGGCGCCATTCAGCAATTTTAGAATGTAAATTCACAATGTTATTTTTAAAAGTGCTAAGAAAATATTTTCAAAAGCCTGCATTCGTCCATTCAACGAAATACTGTCTTTATTGGTGAAGTAAAAGCTCAAGCGTAAATTGCATTGTCCCCACCGCAGTAAACCCACATGGAAGCACCCAAATCCATCAGGCAGCACACAAGCAAAAATAAACACACACACACATACATATGAGCGCATATGGGGTTTGTAGCAGCTAGCGCATGTAAGCAGAATTCCAATCGAGGAAATTCAATTTGCCGCTTGAAACTGTCCGTCCATGCGTCAGTGGGTTTATCCAATAGTTGCTGTAAAAGTAAGGAATCCCAGCATATTGTCACACGTATGTCGCCAATATTGTAATTGTTTTGAGGATATTTGTCGAAAAGCAGCACAAAATGTTTAACATGTGTATTTTCTTATGTTTAACAGTATATGTGTGTGTGTGTGTATGTGTGTGGCAGAAAGCCAAATTGAGTGGAGAAGCATAAGCCAAAAATTTTTCGTTTTCAAGTTATCACCGATTGTACGGCTGTCTGTGTGTGAGATTTGGTGTTTTTTGGATACATATGTGTTCATAAATGTATGTGTGTTTATATGCATGTGTGTATTAACGCTTAAGTATGCCACGATGAGGGGATTCATGCCTTTTGAAGCATATAATTTACAAAACACAAACACACACACACATAAATATAGGCAACGCATGTAACAAATATTGCCTCCGGGGAGAAATGGAGTTGAAAACTGCTGTGTGTGTGTGTATCTGCGATTGTGTGAGTGACATGTGCGCCTGCAGACATTTCGACAGACGGTGAATGTACACTTATACGATTACTGACAGGAAGGAGCTCACACGTTTTGTGGAAAACGAAAATTTTTCGGCGACAATCAAGTGGCTGTAATAACAACAACAACAATGTGGCGCACAACACATGGCATACCGTTGAATTGGCAACTCGAGTGTTTTGAGTGCTTTGGTGTGAGTGAGTAGCCATTTACACACACACACACACACATGTATTTATACGCACACTAGCAGCTGCATTTGTATAAGCGGCGGCAAACGATTTTCAAACTGTGTGACTTTTGCATTTTTGTTGTCATTGATTTTTCGGTATTGATTGCATTATGCTTGCGCTGCCGCAGGGGGAGCTAAGGGACACACATGGGCAACACACGCAATGACTGACTGAACTGTATATATGTCTGTAAATCGGAACATATGTTACGTTTAATATATACATTTACATATACAGCGGCGAAACGTAGAGCATTAGTGTTGTGCGGTCATGTGCTCAACCACAGCACACACAAACACACGCAGCATTGATTTTTTGCATGGTTATGAATCAGGTGTGCCTTTGGGTCATTCCGACGTAGGCAAGAAACACTGCAACAAAGAGAGTTAAGGAAGTGCCATAAATGTTTCTTCCTCTTTGAAAATTACTGAAGGGGGAAGAAAATTTAAGGATTTCAGATAACAAACAGATTGTCATAGCCATTTGTACTTGAATATTATAATTTGTTTTTGGGTCAAATTCTACTTGAGAAGCCTAAAATAATTATTCAATTGATCCAAAAAGGGGAAAAAAATATGTTTCCCAATACAATAGTGTCAAATCGTTCGGGTCAGTCAGCTTTCGCACGTAGGCCAATCTGAACAATCTACACGGACTTTAAAATTTCGTGAAATAAACAACTTTTTAATACAAACACTAAGTTCAGCTTGTTTGGTGGCTATGAGGTATAGTGATCCGATCTGAAAATTTTCTTCGAAGATAGCATTATTATCTTAAGCAATAATTCGCGCCAAATTTCGTGAAGATATCTTGCCAAATATAGAAGTTTTCCGTACAAGTTTCTAAGTTGGCTCGTTCAGCTTTTATTTGATAGCTATACGCTATAATAATCGGATGTGAACAATTTTTTTTTTGAGATTATACCGCTGCTTTGGTTATTAGTCTGCGTCAAATTTCATTAAGATATCTCATCAAATAAAAAAAATTTTCATACAAGGACTTTGATCGTGCATTTTGTATGGCAGCTATGTGCTATAGTGGTGCCACCTAAAATATTTCATCGGATATTCCACTGTGTCTTTACATAATAATTCACGCTAAATTTCGTGAAAATATCTCGTCAAATAAAAAAGTTTTTCATAGAAGGACTTGAGTTGGATCATGCGTACGGACGGATCGACAGATCATGGTCAATAACCTGTTCAGGGTAAAAAAGGAAAAGGAACTAACAGACTACTCTAGCTTTTTGATACATAAAATAAATATATGTTCCCTTAAGGAGTTAGGCGAGTACGTCAACCATTCTACATACTCTAAGGCGTTTAAGTATGAAAGTACAATAATCCAAGTCTCTTGGTTTAAGTTGGAGAATCAGAAATAAGATAACTGTTCTAATAGACTACAAAACATAACTTCAAGTTTCATATTCCCAAAGCAGGTAGAAAAGAAATGAAAAAGGAAAATTAACTCCAGATTATTCTCTTCAGAATCAAAGTTATCTAAGCAGTCGGCAGAGCAGCTCTCATTGGCA